TACTTAACATTGAATCCACAATATCAATGAATGATTTGAATGAAAGAAAACCCCTTAATGATTATCAACATAAAAGCCGTTGATCCATTAATCCATTGATCACACTTAATTCATCAAGATGAACAACATATAAACTCCTTCCAATAGAAAACACTTTGCTAATCTCCTCTATGAGAATTCTGGAAGGGTTAGCTCTCAAAAATGCAACTAAGGCAGTTTAAAAGATGTAGAGTCACGAAGACCATTCAAGTGCAGGAATGACCGCTCGAACAGTGTGTCTGAAAGGCGGTGCCAACAAACTTTCACCTGTCACTTTGATCGAGGGCAAGACTTACTGTTCAAGCGGTAAAACAAAATTCTCAGTTTCTCAGAGCTCAGATTGTAATACTGGATGCTCCAATACAACGCTCGAGCGCACACTTGACTGCTCGAGCAGTCCATGAAGTTTGACAAGCTCAAAAACTCTTCTGCTCAAGCACACTTTTCTTTCAGCACAAACTCCTCTACTCAAGCACAAATTAAGTTGGATTCACATCTAAACCCTCACAACTCACAGAAACAAGAGTGAATGCAAATACATTTGAAAGGAATTTTATTCAATGGGATTGTCGATTACAAAAAACCTAACATCTTTAAACCTTAACGGAGTTTAGTGTAATTTATTTAAAATAATAATAATAATAATAATAATAATAATAATAATAATAATAATAATAATAATATCTAAAAAAAGTCAAAAAATCAACAAATACAAAAAAATCAAAGATTCTTTTCGATTCACTATATTTTTTACATATGTTTTCGTAAAAAATTTAAAAATCATTCTTAACATATTAATTTTTTTCGACTCATATTTTAATAAAAAGGTAAAAAAATCACTATAAAATCTTATTCCCAAACCACCCGTAAATATAAATAAAAATCTTTGGAGTATGAGTTTGCCTGTGACAAGGGGTGATAGCAGCAGGATAGAGGTGGACAAACGTGGTGTCAGTCCGGCTAACATTGTATAATAAGGCCATGTTTGTTTGGGCGGACTGGATTAGCATTCCCATGACTAATAGTCCTAGGACTACGAATCCGTTGGATTATGTATCCTATCTTAATTAATAGTCAAGCTTAAAATAATTAGTCCCCACTTTAATTGTTTAACCAAACATCAGATTAATAATTTTATTGGACTATTAATCCAATCCCAAGCTCATGTCCACCCAAACAAACATGACCTAAGTGTGTTTGTCTATTTGTTTAAGTTCGATCTAAAAAATAATTATAAACCTTAAACCTATCCCATCGGATTATATGTTAAAAAAAATTAAATTATTTTATAATTAAATTCAATTACACGTTATATTTCTTAAACAAATATTCAATTACACGTTATACTTTTTAAACAAATACATTGATATCATTATTAATTGAAAGATTTTGTATATAAATTAAAAATTTTATTAAATAAATTCAATCACACATCATCATAAATGTGATTTTCAATAAAATTAACAAAAATAAAATTTAGATTAAAAAACATATATATTTTAATATGTTCTAAATAAATAAATAATTATAATTTAATAACGAACTATATCGAATCAAACTAAGTTAAAAGTATAAACTTCAAATTCAATCTATTAATATTTTAAATTACAAATGTTAGTCTAACTAGACGTTAAAACACCTTTCCCCAACTCTTTAAAAAATAGGATTAGACTGAACGGGCCAATTGCCGACGTCTAGCCCTAAAAAATAGCAGGACTGTGTACAGTGGCGGAGCCAGGATTTTGGGTCAGAAGGGGCACCTTTGAATTAAAATCTTAACAAAAATCAAAATTTAACTTAACTTTTATTTGGTAGTAGGACTAAAAATTAGTGCGATACAAAAGTTATATTTAAATATAAGGTCAAATAAACTCATCATTATCTTTATTGTTAATAATTTATTTTATATATGATGATCATCATGGTTTAAAAAATAATTACATATACTCTCATAAAATATGAGAACAAAATTAAATTAAGATGCACACACATAAAGAGATATAGTAAGGATAGCGAAAGAAATAAGAAAAAGATGAACAAAAAATATACATAGGCTATTATATATTATTTGTTTTTTTTCACCGTCTTGAACAATTAAATTACATGGCAATATATTATTAGTTGTCATTAATTGTGTAATAATTATGTGTCATATAAGGTGATATAAAACCGTGACAAAATATTAGTGATATATAACATTTCTCTACTATAAAATTTATTAGAATTCTTTTTAAGCATAATTAAATATTTGAAGTGATAAATTAAACATTTTTTATTTATAAAAAAAGTAAAGAAAATAGTGATGTAAAAATTACAAAATATTATTTAAAAAGATTAAATTAAAATATATATTTTTATCACGTGACGGCTCTTAACCTCACCTGCCTCCGCCCTTGATTGTGTAGGCATGGGAACAAATGAGTACAGGCATGTAGCTATCTGGTTGTCTTTAATGTGATTAGGTAAGTATGTGGTTCAGCTTCGTCAGTCTTAGAGGTGTCACTCTCAGGTTTCCAAGGTCTGTTTCAATCTCTATTTGTTCAGATTGATCATGCTGATATGTATACTTGTTCAACACTCCTGCGTAGCAAGCTTAGCCCGAATGGCTCGAAATTTATCGCGGTAGTCGTCTGCGAGAAGTCTGACAGCCGTGGTTGACTAGATGACAACCACGGCGTGGTAGACAAGTGTTTCACCCGGTGGTGCGGTAAACACCAAATTCAGGCCATTCGAGCCCCTCCCTTATGAGCTACAAGTCATTTTTCTTACTTGTTTTGTCCTAAATTCAATATTTTTGTAAATGCGTCTTTGAATTTTTTTCATTGTAAAACCCTACAGCGGGACAAAAGGATGACAGTGTGTTCTTAATTACAGTTTTTCCCAATTAGGGTTTATGAATATTTGGATGCAACCTTTTTATATGGCCATGTTTCTATATTTATTTGTTTCCCCCTGTTTCACATACTGGAATTCTTGCGATTGATGGGTTTCCTTGGTTGGGTCATTGAATCTTTATTGGAATGTATATTGTATAGTTCATCCCAAATTAAGAAGTTCCTTTAGTGGGCTTTTAATGCTGTGTTTGGATCACGGATTTTGTAGTGATTTGTGGATGGGAAAGAAAAGGGGAGGGAAATGTGTAATAAAATTGAGATGATCTCCCCTCCATACTTCATTTCTCCATACTCATCTATACCTTTTTTGTGGGCCCAAATTCATACCCATATGTGTTCTAAACCGTCTACCTTGTAGGTCCTGCAAAGGTCATCCATGTAAAAAATTAATATCAGACATTTATAAACACAAAAACAAATTACATTTTGTTTTATAAAATGAATGACAAATACGCTTGTAAACTTAAACCATCCATTTTATAAAACAAAATGTGATTGTTCCCGTATTCATGGTTGTCTGATAAAGCTGATTTTTTGCATGGATAGTCTTTTTTGCGAAGCCTATGAAGTAGATGGTTCAGATCATCTGTATCTGCTCCATTAGAGCTTGCAAGAGGGGTATGGACGGGTATGGAGAGATGAAGTATGGAGGGGAGCTTATCCTAATTAAAAATTAGTTTTGTATTTCATTTCTTAGTTTCTCTCCATTTACTTTCCCTACTCAAATCCCTATGCAGATTCATGATTCAAATACAGCCTAAATGTTTGTGGAAAATCTACGCACCCAAAAGAATATGGAGAAAATAAAATGTATGATGTAGATTCAAACTGGGAGTGGTGTGGGCCACACCGAGAGAAAATCACATTTCATTTTTGGGGTAGTTATTCTAGGTGAGTAGTATTACTGAAATCTTTGTTGTGATTCTTCTTTACTGGTCAATGTTGTGCTGCAATTATTCGAGAACTGGATTGATCATGGAAAAGGATAATGGAGCTAACCAATGTAATCCTGAATGTGATGCTAAATTATTGTGTTGTGTCTTCTATGTTGTTTTGGGAGAAAAGTGGCAGAATGTGGACATTCATTGAAGCACCTTTATAAGAGAGAATAGCTTTGAAGCTAATTAAAATTTCTTAATTACATTTGGTGAGAAGGTGATAAATTCGAAGCCGCACATTTATTGTTACTGAGAAGGTATTCACCTTTATGGTCACTGAGATGCCATTGAAACTACAGACCACGTAGCTAGTGGAATTTTGTGTCATATTGGCAAAGAGGCAAAAGTTTGGGGCTTCTTATCAGTCAAAAAGAAAATTACTAGAGTATGTAATCAACACAAAGAGTCAATGTAAGAGAGTACAAAATATGTTCAAGAAGAAGAAGAAGAAGAAGAAGAAGAATTGAAGTACATAAATATAATCAATACGAAAAAGACGCAAATCGGTATATAGGCCCCGTTTGGGGACTTACTTTTTTAGCCAATTAGCCAAAAAGTTACTAAATTAGTCAAAAAGCCAACAATTCATACCAAAAAATCAAAGATTCTATTTTCTCTCTACTTTTTGCACATCTTTTCGTAATTAGCCAAAAAGTCATCCCAAACATACAAGTTTTTTTTACCTACCTTTTTAGCCAAATAGCCAAAAGTTACTAAATTAGCCTGTTCCCAAACAAGGCCATAATATATGGTCTAAGAGATATATTATGTCTTATAAGTTATAAATATCTTGATATATACACTTCACCTCCCATTTACCGACTCACTTTACATTTACGATCCCTTAAAATGTCTTTAGCATGTTGTGATTATCAGAATGTACAATTGGCAACTTGTTTGAATGCTTCAAAGAAAATGACCCAAGAGGAAAATAATTTCTCCGAAATAAATTCCTTGAAAGGAGGGCTTAATGGCTAATCTAATCAAAAATCAACTTGTGCATGCATGGCCCATTGAATTGCAAATAAGGCCTTAAATTTTTCATCTTCTTGAAAAAGACTCATATCTCGAAAGCCTACCAAGACTAAATGTTGATATTTAAAATTAGTTAATGTTGTTGACTTTGGAGCCAACAATTAAACCAATAAGCCCACCTGGCTCTTTTTGTGTCCTTCTATTTTTTTCTTATATGGTAAAAAATAGGTCATGGTGTATAGGTCAGCTTTCATAGTGTTTTTGGGATATATTAGATATATTTAGTTGGAAAATTTGAGGATGAGCAACGTGCTATTGTATTGTAAGCATGTGCATGTTGAATACTTCTAATGAGAGTATATGGCTATCATGGAAAAAACTCTCTTGAAGAGTTCTACTAATGAACAGCAGAACTGAATGCAAGTAGAGTGGTTTCAAAGTGGTTCATGTTCTTTCTTGAATAATGGGATCAAGAATTCAGATCTGTTTACTGGTTATTTCCTTCCAAATTTTACTGGTAGCAACGCAGATGAATAATCTGGACTGTAAGTTCAATTCTTGTGTCCAAGTTGTTAGTTTATTGATGTCACTAGTTATATATGTTAGTTTTTTTGTGCCTTGATTAATACAAAAAGAATACAGACTTGCTTGTTAGATAATGCATCCTCCAGGAACACATAAATAATTCCTACACTGAATTAACGATGGCATATGCTAGACCTCTTTCTAGTTTCTTTCTCTTCACACCATACCTTATTTACACTCGGGTTGATTGCTGATAAAAGGTGAAGAAAGAAAATGAATATATATATTTTGTCTTTTGTTGTTTTTGAGTGATTTTCACTAGTGGATGCCTTTTCTTAGATTCCAAATGACATTAGATTTGAGATTCGAAGTTTGAGTACAGTCCGTAAGTCTTTCAGCATGCAAAGGACTAGAACTTTGTCCATCTCAGGAAAAATTTTCGCAATATAAAGCTGTAGATCAAATCTCTAGAATACATAGTTGCATATCTGCTATGTGTCAACCGCCTTCCAAAGTGATTTTTTATTTATTTATTTATTTATCAACTACCATCTTTATCTAGTTTAGCAACAAGTTCTTAGTCTGCATACTGTTTTGTGGTCACTCAGAAGCAAGATTTGGATGTTTGATTTCTTTGACTGTAGTATCAAATGGTCTTGATTATTCAGAAATGACCAAGATAGTACCTTGAACTAGAAAGTACTTAGTCAAACAAGATCTGAGAAGACAAGTACTTTTAGCTCATTCTTTTGTTTTTGGGTTACTGGCCATTGTTGGTTTCCTTAATCCTCATAAAAATTTCGGTTAAAGTTAATTTATGTTCGATGCAGTTGCTGCTTTGAACGCTCTCAAAGAAATTTGGAAGAACATACCACTCAATTGGGTTGGGTCGGATCCATGTGGCAACAGTTGGGAAGGAATTCATTGCACCAATTCGCGTGTGACATCTATGTAAGTCCCTATTGTGTTTTACATTTAATGCTTATGGAGAGTTGCTTATTCTACTTTTTGAGAATTAATAGGTTAACTATAAATTTTAATTCCAGAACATTAGCGAGCATGGGATTGACTGGTCAGCTGTCCGGAGACATTCAATGGTTGTCTGAATTACAGACTTTGTAGGTCTTCTATTTTCGCTATCCCTATTCACTCGTAAATAGATCCAATTCCAATTAACTTTACAGAGAATCATTCAGTTAGTGTTATTCATTCAGGACTGCTGTGCTTCCTTGGTTATTCAGATTTCAAAAGCCTTCATTCTTGATGGAGTTTAAAGCTTAAATATCCTTGGCTGTGTGAGACGCTAATGGGAAATTGCCCCTTGCTGTTTATCATTGAGCAGTGCTCATTATAGGCTCTATCTAATACATATTGAGCAGTGGACTACTATGATCGTTTGTTAACGCTTTTGTTTTCATTTTTTTTGGAAACTCAAAACAAAAACTTATTTGGTATATGGTTTTCGTTTTCAAAAAAATGAAAATGATTCCAAAATGTTTGGAAATGGAAAAACAGACTTTTTACTTATTTTCAAAACAAGTTTTCATTTTCTTTTTTCTCCCCCACCACTTCGGGCCACCACCTACTGCTAGCCGGCTTGCTACCAGAGAGCTCCAGCAATCTTTTGGTGACTCTACAGTGACAGCACGTCAGGCCACCACCCACCGCTAGCCAGCTTGCTGCCAGAGAGCTCCAGCAACCTTTTAGTGACTCTATAGTGACCACCCAATTACCACTGTGACCTCTGACAACCTTTTGGTGGCTCTCTAGCCACCCCATGACCTTTGGCCACATTCCAGCCATCAAGTCCGGCCACCCCCCCACCACCAGTCACCACATCCATCCACCCTCCACCATCGGCCACTACCTTCGGCAACTCACCAAACATGTTTCTCTATTTTGTTTTTATTTGTTTTCAAAACATTTTTATATACCAAACAAGTTTTTTGTTTTTGTTTCTTACCAAAAAAAAAAAAAGGAAAAATTATGTAAACAGAAAATAGGAAAATGACAACGTTAACAAATGACCCCAATGTTTCATTTTCATTCTTTACGAGCCTCTTGCCCATAATGGAATCCATCTTCAGGTCTTCGCAAATGTTTGTTTGGACCTAAATTATTTTGTATCACAAGAGAATATCACAACGTAATATATGTAGGATATGGCACCACGGATAATAACATGGTTAATTATATGTCTTCTTGCTTTGTTGTAATGCCTACTCTCTCTCTCTCTCATGTGCGTGCACGCACTCACACACACACACAAATGCTTGGTGACACTCACTAGATTGGTGTCACGGTTCATATTTCACTTAAATGCCTGATTGATGTGGTATAAAACACTACCCAGACAGTGTTCCCTGCTTTATTAATAATAGCTGTTTGGAATTGTCTTTGTTTATTCTCCTCTTTACTTCCACATAAGAATTGTTAAAAGTAACTTCTAACTATCAGCTTGTCAATATAGGGATCTATCATACAACAACGGTTTGACAGGATCTCTTCCTCGATCAATTGGAAATTTGACTAAGTTATCAAACCTGTAAGAAATTTTTTTATTGTTGTTATACTATGTTGAATCTGTTGATTACTGAGGTCAGTACCCCATTACAAAATAATTACTTCTACTTGCATCTCAGAATGCTGGCTAGTTGCGGTTTCAGTGGTCCAATTCCAGAGACAATAGGATCTCTGCAGCAGCTGAGCGTTTTGTAAGGATTTGGACTTTGTTATTTCTGTTTACTATGAGAATCAATGTATGTGAAAGCTTAATGTGGAAGTATCAGCCATTTTAGGTTCATATTCTTGTGACATGATTCCATTCTCTGACATAATGATGAAATGGCAGAAATCTAAATTAACTCGGTATAAGTTCAAGTTATCAGATAAATTATTTAGTCCATGGTTGTTAGAATTTTACAATTCACTATTTGATTCGTGTAGTTGAACCTTGAATTGAGTGAATTTTACGATTCAGTTGCGATTCACTGCCATTCAAGCGATTCAGTTTTGCTTGCATAATGCATGAAACGGCATCATTTTCACAAAATAATAAAAGAGATCAACTAATTATATTGATATATGTGGTTTTACATATATATACATATATACTGTGTAGTTATATTGATATTTATTTCATTTTAAACACTGTATGTGTATTTTTATAGGTATATATACGTATCTAAAATCATATATTATGCTAAATAATGTGAATCTTACAATTCACGGTTTACTATTTTAGCAAAATAATTCACGATTCGATTAGTGATTTGACAACAATGCTCTTAAGTGATTGACATGATCAGTAAAATGAGATGGACATCAACTACAACCTTTCACATACTTTTGACACAATGATTGACTGCTCTTTCCATAATTTGATCTTAAATATTTCCTTTACAAAATTTTGTTGAATTTAGGAAATAAGGATATTATATTTATAGTAGTTTGTATAAATACAATCGCGGATTTAGTGCCTTAATTATTTTGTTTCCTAGTTTGTAATATTAATTCATTATATATACATGGCTCTACCTCATTCGAAGGTTAGCCAATACCATTCTTTTCATTCTTTTTGGTATCAGAGCCAAAGAACAGAAACCCTAGCCTGTCCCTCACCTCTGTCGGCACTGCCCAGCACCACCTAGCTCCATCGACAGCCTCCTTCCCTCTCCCTAAGCCTCCGACAGCCTACCCACCTTTTCTTCTCCACCCAATAAGCCTACCCACCACTTCTAGACCACCCGACAGCCACTTCCCGCCACTGTTTTCCCCTCGACAGGTCTCCATCACCCCTACCGAGGCTTTAGTAGCTCTCAACCCCGCCTTTCCCTAGTCCTGAGTGCTTCAGCAACCCTTCTATGGCGGTCTAGGTTCTCCTTTTCCCTTCTCGGTGTGTTGTGTTGATGTATTAAGCACCTTCTTCTGTTCTCTTGATTCATCGGGCTATCGGGTTTGTCCGGGTTTGTTCCCTTTTTGAGTTTTTATTCGGATTGTGTTGCTATGTGTTTTGCAGCCTTTATCATTCCACCATGATTGAGCCACCTACTGTCACCTTTTCTGAGGTACCCACAAAACCCGTTCCAGTTGGTTTTGATTTTTTTTCTTTCTCATCACACCCTTGTTCATTATATTACAAGTGTGGTGTTGAATGGTAAAATTTTTGTTGCCTAGAGCCGTTCTCTTAAACTCTATTTAGGGGAGAAGGGGAAGGCTTATTGGCTTTTATCTACTATTACCTAGCTAGCTGAGATAAACTCTACACATGGCCAGTGGGATATTGATAATTGTACCATCTTAAGATGGACGTTCAACTCCATGGAGGATAGGATTTATCACATGTTTCTTTATTGCAACATTGTTTTGAGTCTATGGTGCGGCTTGTCACAGATGTATTCTCATGTTCATAATGATGTTTGAATCTTTGAGCTCTGTCAGCATATTGCTCGTGCCTCTCAGTCTACTTTGGTCTCTCTGCAGCGGAGTTTTTCGGATATCTTTAGGCTTGTTGGGAATAATTGTCTCAATATGAGCGCTTGATTGAGTAATCGATAGACGCGACCTCTCTCATGTCCAAGCGACTTGCTCGACTATACACTTACTAGTTTCTGATGGGTTTAAACTCTGAATTTGAATCTCTTTGAATTCAAATTTTAAACACATCACATATGTTGTCTCTCTACGAGGCCTTTGCCACCATTGACAATGATAAGTACCGTCGGCGATTGGTTCAGCCTAGCCTTCCTCCAATATCTCCAATTGTATCTGATCGGATGGCTCTTGCTGCAAATTTTGGTTCTCGGGGGGGCGGGGGGGTCTAGTGGTTCAGTTATTTGTCATCATTGTGGTGCTCCTGGCCATGTTAAGGCTCATTGTTTCAAACTTCATCATGAGTTGAGGCAAGAATTCTCTCGCACTCGAGGCACTGGAGCTCCTTGCATTGATGCTCCAGTGGAGACCACTCCTATTCCTACCTCTCCCAGTGTCCCTCATTTACAGTAGCTGCAGACTCAAATTGGTCAGTTCTAGGAGTAGTTTGGATCTCTCATTGCTCATTCTCTTGGCCTATTATCTTCCTCTACTACCACCCTTGCCACATGTACTTCTATTGCTTTTCATGTTCGGTCGTTTACTAGTCCTTCATGAGTTTTGGATTCTTGGACTAATGATCATATGATGGGTGAGTTTTCCTTTCTTTCCTCTCCAGTCTCTACTACTACCAGCCAATCTGTTTGTCTTGCTGATGGTTCTTCATCTTCTATACATCATAAGGGTATTGTGTCTTTATCTTCCGATATTACTCTGTCTTCCGTTTTGCATGTTCCTAATTTTGTCTATAATCTCTTATCTATTAGTCGGCTTGCCAAAACTTTTAATTGTGCTATCATATTCCTACCGTTTTCTTGTCTTTTATAGGACCTGAGTTCGAAGAGGATTTTTGGCATGGGCTATGAGCGTGATATACTTTACTACGTTGGGGATCCACTGGACCAACCTTCTTCATTTACTTTAGCTAGTCTTTAGGCATCTGTTTTGCCTACTTCCATATCTTGTGTCTTTTCAATTCAAACTTTAAAATTATGACACGCCTGTATGGGTCATGTTAATTTTCAATATTTATGTCAACTTTTTCCGTTATTAAATAAAACTTATAAGGATTCTAAGTTTCATTGTGTGGCTTGTGAATTGTCTAAACATACCCATACTAGTTATATACCTCAGATGACATGTGCCCCTAGTGCTTTTGATTTTATACATTTTGATGTTTGGGGCCCTTCTCCTGTCCATGCTCTTTCTGGTCATAGATATTATGTGACTTTTATTGATGATCATACTAGGTGCACGTGGTTTTATCTGCTTCACTGTAAGTCTGATGTGTTCCCTATTTTTGTTTAATTTTTGCAAATGGTTAAGACTCAATCTTGTACAGTTGTTAGGAACATCCGTTCTGATAATGGTGTGGAATACATTTCAAATGAATTTTGTTCCCATCTTAATCAGATAGGTATTCTTTAACAACTTACGTGCCCTCGCACCCCTGAACAAAATGGTGTTGTTGAACATAAAAACCGTCATATTATGTCTGTTGTGTGGTGTCTTCTTCGTGGTATGGGTGTTCCCAAATCATATTGGCATATAGCTGTCCTTGCTACTGTCTATCTGATTAATCAGACACCTAGTCATGTGTTGCATGGTCTTACTCCGTTTCATGTCCTTGTGCCCAACACTAGTTTGGTTCTTCTCCGACTATGTGTCTTTGGGTGTACTTGTTTTGTTCAAGATTAGAGTCCCACTCGTATTAAGTTAGATGACAAGTCTATTCATTTGCGTCTTCATAGGATATTCTTCCATGTCCAAAGGGTATAGGTGTTTTGATTCTGTGTCTGATCACTTCCACCACACTTTGGATGTTACTTTTTGTGAGGATCTCCCATTTTTTGGTACTAATCCTCCTTTGCTGGCTTCCACTCCAGTTGCTTTCAGTGTTCAACCTGTTCCTATTTTGGATGAGTTTGTTTCCCCTCCTTATTTCCCACCTTCACCCCCATCCTCCCTCCCATTGCATGTATACTCACGTCACCTTCACTCTCAGCTACACTCTGTCGTCTCTCTGATCTTTGGGTCAGGTATTCTTCCCCTTTAAATACGGCCCTTCCATCTCCTCGTCATAAGCGACCTCGAGATCGGCATCCTCCAAATTGTTGGGGTTATTTGAGTAGTACTAATCATCACATTTCCCAGTATCTTTCCTATGATTGAGTTTTAGATTCCCTACCTATTGATCTTTTCTTGGCAAGCTTGAATCAAAGGCTATTCCTCGTTCTGTGTAAGAGGCCCTTCAGAATCCTAAATGAGTTGTGGCCATGCAGGCTGAGATGGCAACTTTAGAACAGAATCACACTTGGGATCTTGTACCTTTACCCTTGGGGAGAGCATAGTTGGCTGCAAATGGGTGTTTACTATTAAGTATCTGGCTGATGGCTCTGTTGATCCTTACAAAGCCCGTTTGGTGGCGAAGGGATTCACGCAGGTTCCTGGCAAGGATTTTAGGGCTACTTTTGAGCCTGTCGCCATGCTTACTCTTGTTCGTCTTCTTATCTCTCTTGCAGCATCACATTCTTGGCCTCTTCATCAGCTTAATGTCAAGATTGTGTTTCTTCATGGGGATCTTCTTGAGATGATTTACATGGCTCCTTCTCCTGGATTCCGGTCTAAGGGGGAGTATTTGGGAAAAGTTTGTCGGTTACGCAAGTCTTTGTATGGCTTGAAACAATCTCCACAGGCATGGTTTGGTTGCTTTAGTTTTGTTATCATCTCCATGGGATTTGTTCAGTGCTACTCATACCATACTTGTTTCATCCATCATAATTCTGTGGGTCAGTGTGTAGTCTTGTTGGTTTATATGGATGATATTATTCTCATAGGCGATGATTATGTCGGCATTGGTCAAGTAAAGAAGTATTTGGGCCAAATCTTTGATATCAAGGGTCATGGGTGTCTTAAATATTTTCTGGGGGTTGAGGTGGCTTGTTCACAGTAGGGGATATCCTTGTCTCAAAGGAAGTACACTCTTGATCTACTTTAGGATACTGGTATGTTAAGGTGTAAACCTAATATCAAGCTCACATTAGAGTCTGGCGAGTTGTTAGAGGACCCAGGTATGTATCGGTGTTTTGTTGGCTGTCTCATTTATTTGACCAACACTAGACTTGACTTGACCTGACATTTGCAGTTAGGATTGTGAGTCAGTTTATGCATGCACTTTGTACAAAACATCTTGATGTTGTTCATCTCATTTTGAGGTATTTGAAGACTTCTCTAGGTTTGAGATTATTCTTTATAGTTGGTTCTCAATCCACGCTTTCATGTTTCATTGATGCTGGCTATGCATGATCTAGAATGGATAGGGTTTCCACTTTTGGCTTCTGTACTTTCTATGGTGATCATATTATATCATGGAAAAGTAAGAAGTAAGCAGTTGTTTCTAGATACTCTGCAGATGTTGAGAATCGGGCTATGACACAGGGAACATGTGAAATTTTATGGCTTCACTCTATTCTGGTCAAGTTGGGATTTGAGGAGACTACTTCTTCCTCTTTGCTTTGTGACAACAAATTTGCGATTATGTTATCTTCTGATTCGGTAGCCATGAGAATACCAAGCACATCGAGGTTGATATACATTTGATTAGAGAAAAGGTTCGGACAGCTATTGTGAGTCCATCATTTGTCTTCTTTCTGAGCAGTTAGCGGATATGTTCAAAAAGTCTATGAGCATGTTCCTCTCTGGGTCGGTCTGGTCTAATTGACGTCAACTGACTCACATGGGTTTGTAATATTAATTCATTATATATACATGGCTATACCTCCTTCAAAGGTAAGCCAATACCATTCTTTTCATTCTTTTAATTTTCCATTGATAATTTGATAGTATTGCAAAATGTTATATTCCTTTCCACAAATTATTTTGGTCGTATGTATTATTTGGGCTTCCTATAAAATCCTAATATTTGCACCTTTCAAGAACAAATGCTCCCACCCTCTGACTTCTCTAGGTGAACCTACTTACTCCCTCTTCATGCTTTTAAAAGATAAGAAAATTTTGAGCATGGAACCATTTTTTGGTCCTTTAAATCTTGCATCAGAAACTCCAATCTTTTAATTCATATCATCATGTTTCGATTCCAGAAATTTTCTGCTGAACTTTGCATGTACTGAATGTTCTAGTATGGCTTACCTTTTATTGTGCAGTTGCATGCCTTGGCCTATATTTCAATTATTTCATTCTGTATTCTGCAGGTCTCTGTCTTCCAACAGCTTCAGTGGTCCAATTCCACCTTCAATTGGTAACCTCTTTAATCTTTATTGGCTGGATCTGACTGGCAATAAGCTTTCTGGAACTATCCCTGTCTCTAGTGGGAGCACACCTGGTCTGGATAAGCTGGTTAAAGCAAAGCACTTGTATGTCTAATATCTCTCTCTCTCTCTCTCTCTCTCTCTCTGTATTTAAGCTAACTAAAAATCTCTCTCTCTCTCTCTCTCTCTCTCTCTCTGTATTTAAGCTAACTAAAAATTTATTTGTTGTTTATTTCCATACACTAATGACCTTAGATTCTTTATACTATTCACAGTCATTGTGGAAGCAATCAGCTCTCTGGTGAAATCCCATCTCAGCTTTTCAATTCAAATATGTCTCTTATACATGTGTGAGTTCCTTTGGACCAGCTATTTATTCATGCAACAGTGCTGCGGACCCCCAGCAACCCCAGCTCCACGTGGGGGGCTGTGAGAGCAAGACTAAAAAAATAAAATAAAAAATTTGAGCCAATCAAAAAACAGTGGGGGTGGTGGGGGTGGGGGGGAAAAATTCAAATATGTCTCTGATACATGTGTGAGTTCCTTTGAACCAGCTATTTATTCGTGAGTCTCTGGTATGCACTTGAATGACAGAACAACAGGTTATGCATTTATGTAGTTTGCTTACCCGTATGGCAAGTATAAGCAACAAGCTTTCATGGTGACAAAGAGAACAACATTTGTTATGAGAATAATATTTTAAATATACATTTGAATGAATTCATATATAATGACAAGTCCCTCTCAATTTTGCCTTTTAACAGTTGACAGCAAGGGTGCTCTCTTCTTTTTTTATTTTCTATTTATTTATAATATGATGAGGAATGTTGGACTTAATTTCTGGGCAGCCCGTTTCACTCAATCTGGGCAATAATTTCATTATCATCTTGTGAATTAATTTGAGCAGGATTTTTAATGACAATCAACTCAGTGGCAAGATTCCTTCAACGCTAGGACTAGTGCAGACTTTGGAGATATTGTGAGTATCTCTATCACATACCCAATTAAAATCATAATAAGATGCTAGCTGTGAATACCCATTAAACTTTTTGATTTGAGTATGTAGTGTTGGCAATGCATTTGCCTGGATAGGAACTCATTGGTGGACCTATCCAACTTTTCCATTTTAAGCTCAGCCAAAAAAAAAAAAGAAAAAAAAAAAAAAAATAGCTTCTATACTCGTTTCCAGGAAGTTAGCTTGTGCTGCATTAGGTTTTCAGCTTCAGTCTTAACTATGAGAGGCTTTTGATTTTTCACTTTCAGGTTCTTGTCGAACAATCAACTGACTGGCCCTTTGCCCAATCTTACTGGCTTGAATTCTCTCAACTACGTGTAAGTGCTAACAATCTTGCTGACTTAGGAAAAAAGGCATCATGATTCTCAAGCATTTCATTAATGGATGTCTTGTTAATTCCTTCTTTTCCTCCTTCTGAAGCTGATGCGCTTTTCCCACTTTCATCTCGTTTTCATAATTATGTTCAATACATGCTACTTTGACCAAAATATTTCTTGCAGGGATTTAAGCAATAATACTTTTGACAAGTCAGATTTTCCTCCATGGGTGGAAACCTTACAGTCTTTGGGAACATTGTACGTCTCTCTCTCTCTCTCAACACTCACATACAAAAACAACATAGCAGAATTTCTTTGAATTATTTGAGGTATGCTATTGGGGTCCTTCTCCATTATTTACGTCTAGGGCCTTATATTTTGTTGCATCATAGTGGATTAGTTATCATGCCTCTTCAATCATGTGTTTTGGCCTTCTCCTTGTCTTTTGAAGTACTTCAACTTGAAATATTTCCTTCCTTACTGGTGTTTCCTTGGTCTTTGCTGCAGACAACCGAAACATTGCAGTCAACTATCTTATAATGTTCTCAATTTTGTGTGAATGAACTTGTTTCAACCAATCTTTTGTTCTCTGCCACTTGTTCATCCAAGCATATTGCATTTCATTTAAGAAAATTATAGAAAATGTGCTTTGGATAGCCTCCATTATATACAACAATGCATGGCTACGCTGATGACCTTATAGACCTCTCAATGTAGGCTCTGTTTGGCAACAATTAAAAAAATTACATTTTTTAATAAATTTTGTCTCAAGTGATTTTGTTTTTAAACTTTTTAGGTCCATCTTGTTTAGGAGGATCTATAAAGTTTTTTTAAAAAATAATAATAATTTAAAAATACAAAAAAGTTTACTAAAGATGAGATTTTTTAACCAACTTTTTAAATTTTTTTAAATTTATAATAAACTTTTCAAGTTCATCTAATCTAGTAGAACATAAGTTGCTAAAAAAAACAATTACTATATTCCACGTAGTCTTATATGTATATGGTGAACTTTGTTATCAGAATCTTACGATTCATGATTCGATTTGCAATTTTCGCAAAATAGATGTGAATCTATGGGTGAATTTATTTTGGAAGTGATCTCTAATGAATCGCACGATTCATAATCGATTCACGATTCGATTCACTTTTTACGATTCATGCAATTTTTGAAAATATCATATCCGACATATTTTGATTATTTTTTTTCTCTTTTTTTTAATTAAATTGACATAATACAACTTGTAATAGTGTTTAGTACGAAAATAACCAATTGGTGTAGGACGAGTAAGGATTACTTTCCTACAAGTAGTGAGCCTGGGTTAAGTATACTGGCAGCAGTAATAGTAGACTTGTAGGGCTGAATTTGGTGGGATTTTATGACTGCAGAATTATTTAAAAATTAGGAGTATAAGGGTTTGTAAAAGGGTAGGGTTTTGGGAATGAAAACACACGTGTTTAGGGGTGGTTGGGTGGTTGTTTTAAGCATTGCGAACAGTGACATGAACAGTAACCTTGCTGGATAGAAGGAGGAGAAGAAGAAGGAGAAGAAGAAGAAGAGAGAGAGAGAGAGAGAGAGAGAGAGAGAGAGAGAGAAAAGTGCTTCACCCTTACAAGGGATAGAGGCCAATCACGCAAACACAATCTTAAATTTTCAAAATATATCAACTCTGCCCGAATCATTGAGATTACACATCTATTTGTAGGCTAAAGACACTCCTAATTCTATAAGGACTATAGCTCAAATTTAGAAACTAAAACTATTTACCAACTACTAATATTTTAGACCAACTATGACTTCCAATTCTACTTCAATCATAATAGGAAACTTTAATGACTTCTAATTCTACTTCAATATCAATATAGGAAACTTGGACTTTTGACCACTAGGATTATTTTAGACATAATAAAACCCATATATAATATCCCATTTAATAACTTGACCCAATATAAAACCCATGGGCAAGCTTACAACCTATGTCTAGCAAAACTGAAATTACCATAATATCCTTAACTACTACAACCTACTATAATGACATGAAGACTCAAGATAATTCGAAATCTTTAATTCTTGATCCCTTAAATGTGCTTCATGTGAAATTTCAGATTTGTTCTTTTTCTTCTTTCATAATCTTCATCTTTCTCCCCTGCATTCGAAAAAACTCGACCTCGAGTTTTATAATGTTGAAGTATAAGGATTATGGAATCTTGCATTTGCAACCATTCAAATTGATTGTTTTGAATGAATGATGAGAAAATCAGAAAGTTCAATGTTGTTATCACTCCATTAACCACAGCAAATTTATTAGGAATAATACACTCAATGTGAACTTCATTTTTCTTATGAAAAGCAAAAAGTTCAGTTGCATTCACATCATTTTCTTTGACTTCCTTTGCTTTTGAACCTTGATCATGACGATCTTTCATGCATTCTTTAGTAAGCAAATTAATTTTTGCCTTCGTTTCTTCAATATCCTCAATGCTAGCATCTTTCATAGTTTCTTCAAAATTTTCTACACTATCAACCTTTTGCTCCTGGATATTAGTCTTCTGTAAAACAACAGTCAACAATCCTTCCATAGAAGCTTTCAATCCGTTCAAAGTTGTCTTGATAGTATGCACATCACTCTTTATTGTTACAAGATTCTCCTTAATTATCGCGAAATCCTCCTTTAACATCGAAACATCTTTCTTAGGAGCTTTATAATTTGTTGATGAGGCTTCAACCTTCCAATTTAATTCAATACTTGTCAACATTGTAATAAAAAAAAGAAATTTCATCAAAAGATTGGCAACGACCAAGGTAGGATCTTGAAGCTCTGATACCAAGCTGATGTAGGACGCGTAGGGATTACTTTCCTACATGTAGTGAGCCCGGGATAAGTATATTTGCAGCAGCAACAGTAGACTTGTAAAGCTGGATTTGGTGGGATTTTATGACTGCGGAAGTATTTAAAAAATAGGAGTTTAAGGGTTTGTAAAAGGGTAGGGTTTTGGGAATGAAAACACAAGTGTTTAGGGGCAATTGGGTGGTTGTTCTAAGCATTATGAACTGTGGTGTGAACAGTAACCTTGCTGGATAGAAGAAGAAGAAGAAGAGAGATGTGAGAGAGAGAGAAAGAGAGAGAAGTGCTTCACCCTCACAACGGATAGGCCAATCACGCAAACACAATCTTAAATTTTCATAATATTAACTCTGCCCGAATCATTGATATTACACATCTATTTATAGGCCAAAGACTCTCCTAATTCTACAAGGACTATAACTCAAATTTAGAAACTAAAAATATTTATCAACTACTAATATTCTAGACCAACTATGACTTCCAATACTACTTCAATCATAATAAAAAACTTTAATGACTTCTAATTCTACTTCAATATCAAATTATGAAATTTGGACTTTTGACCACTAAAGATTATTTTAGACATAATAAAACCCATATATAATAACCCATTTAATAACTTGACCTAAAATAAAACCCATGGGCAACCTTACAACCTATGTCTAGCAAAACTGAAATTATCATAATATCCTTAACTACTGAAACCTACTATAATGACATGAAGACTCAAAATAATTTCAAATCTTTAATTCTTGATACCCTAAATGTGCTTATTGTGAAATTCTAGATTTTCTCTTTTTCTTCTTTCCATGATTTTCATCACCAATAAATATACATGATTTGTTGTTCTTTTGGAGATCCGATAGTTTTTAATAGGATCCAATTAGATTGAGTCAGACCCAAAATTTTTTTAACATTTTTTCTCATTTTTTTTCTTAAAAAGAAATCATAATGTATATTTTAAAGATGTTTATGGATAAAGTCACTTGAAATATAAATTATCTATTGCTATTATATTAAAAGAAATATACTTCAATATTACATGTATGAGGACTGTTAAACCTAATGGTTCTGCAAGTTCTTTAGTATTGGCTCATTGTTATTTGTAAATGTATATATGTTTATGAAATATCAACATCGTTGCTACGTTATTGTTACTTGAAAATCGAGAATTTGTCTTTATTTACTTTTCTTTATTAAGAATGATTGAGAAGCAATATTTATAAAAAGAAAAAGATAAGATAGTGATCTTACATAGGAACTATTGTTAATTTCTTACCTAGTAGACTGTGTAATCATTATTCAAAATAACATTTTCATTTATTTAAGTCTAAACATTTTATATTTATAAGATATATTTAACAACCAAGTGTGTAGACATATTTTTCTAAGTAATTTAGGAAAAGTGACTGAATCTTTACGGTTCACAATTTGATTCGATTCGAGATTCGATACAAGGTCATTTCGATTCATGATTCAATTTATGATTTGACAACTATGATGGTGAATACAATAGAGAACATGAAGAATGTTTTTGCCTTTTCCCTTTCTCCAAGTTGTGCAACATTGTCTTAAAAAAAAAAGGCAAGGAGAACATGTGTTGAGGTGATAAGTGTTGGAATGTGTCCCACATCGCCTGGAGTTGCCCCTTCTGTGCTAGTTATATGGTTCTAATTTCCCTCTCCTTAATACCTGCGTTTTAAGGAGAAGTGTGGGTTAGGTTTTTCAACTTGGTATCAGAGTTTGGTTGGGCCTGTGACTAGTGGACTATTTGTCCAGCTAGTGTGTGTTGTGGTCCCGGAGAATGTGTTGGAATGTGTCTCACATTGTTTGGAGTTGCCCCATCTGTGCTAGTTATAAGGTTCTAATTTCCCTCTCCTTAATACTTGGGTTTTAAGGAGAAGTGTGGGTTGGGCTTTTCAACTCATGTTGGAATGTGCCCTACATCGCTTGGACTACATCGCTTGGAGTTGTCCCATCTGTGCTAGTTATAAGGCTCTAATTTCCCTCTCTTTAATACCTGAATTTTAAGGAGAAGTGTGGGCTGGGCTTTTTAATTTGGTATTAAAGCTTGGTTGGGCCTGTGACTGGTGGGCCGTTTGTCCAGCTAGTGTGTGTTGTGGTCCAGAAGTGTGTGTTGAAATGTGTCCCACATCGCCTAAAGTTGCTCCATCTGTGTTAGTTATAAGGTTTTAATTTCCCTCTCCTTAATACCTGGGTTTTTAAGAGAAGTGTGGGTTGGGCTTTTCAATTATAAGGAAGGGTGATTTCCATGAACTTAACTGATGATATGACTTTAAATAGTGCCAACTAGTGGAAATTGATTCATGTAGCTAACCCCAAGTAATTGGAACAAAGGTTTGTTGAGTTGAGCTGGAGTTGGTATGACTTCTAACATGACATAACACTTTTTTTTTTTTGATCAGCAAAATGAATCTTTGTTGATAAGAATCAAGGATAACCTTACATCATACATCAATAAAGAGGATACAAAGATCAAAGGGTAGTGCCATAAGCATCACAGCATAATCAAGTTATCCCAACTAGGTGGGCACAACAGGACATGTCCAATCATTTGCAGCACCAACCGAAAACGAAGGTTGAGGAGAAATCAACCAAGAGATAGAAAACAACTAGTAACAGTGCTGAAACAAATAACTGAAAACAACTAGAAAACTTCCACTGATGCACAGCTCACAGAAGGATCACAAATCATGCACCTGCTATCTTCTAGTCAAAACACCTCTGCCCCTAATCGAATACAGGTTGTGCACCAACTCATTAAGAAGCACCGACACGGACACATGACACAGATACGACACGGACACACAGACACGCCAATTTTCAAGAAAATTAGGACACGACACATGTGAGGTATGCACAAAATATATATTTATTATATGTCATATATAAATATATCATTCAAAAATAATAAAAAAATGTAATATAACACATTCTATAAATTTACATTGTCTTTTTTCTTTTATTATTGTATCCTAAGTTATTTAGTTCAAACTTATAATTAATTTCATGTATGTCTAATCCGTGGAAACGTGTGTCCTCCGAGGGTCCAGACCTAAAAAACTTTTTAGAAAATAGAACACGTTTTGACGAGTGTTGGACACATGTTGGGAATTGTCCAACGAGTGTTGTTGTCTGACACAAACACGACATGGGCATGCCACCTTCTTAGAAGTGTTCATGCTTCTTAGCTTGATATTGTACAAAGACTAAATTTATAGTATTTCTCATTCTCTTCTGTTTTTTATTTTTTGGGTGAGTCAAGTTTCTAGGATTTTGTGAGAGAAGTTTGAAAAATGAACTCACTTATTTTCTTTGTTGATGTCAGCTACCTAAAATTTTGAGGTAAAATTGATGTAGGCATCAATCTTTCAATTTTGTGCTTGCAATTTTACAAAGAGCTTCAGCTAAAATGAGAAGGTTCAAAGCACTACAATTATGTTTCAGCTAACATTGTACTTGCAGAGTGATGGAAAACACAGGACTTCAAGGTCAAATTCCAGTTGCCTTCTTCAACCTTCCACTGTTAATGAGAGTGTGAGTATTAGTTTAATCTTATATATTGCATTTCATATAATCATCTAGAATCAAAAGTAATAAAAAATGTAACCTCCGTGGGTTCTAACATTATTGATTCTGAGTTGTATATCTTACATCATGCCCACTATAATCAAATCAATTTCCTTTGGCATGTCATGTCAGTGTATTGAGGAACAACCGCCTTAATGGCACTTTGGATACCGGGCCCAGCTGTAGTGACCAACTGCAACTTATTGATTTGCAGAACAATTCCATAATTGACTTTGTGCCGGGAATGCGATTTAAGTCTGAGTTAATGTAAGTAGTAAGACGGTTTTGGCCATTCTATCAGTAAGATGGTGTCAAATAACTAAATTAGTTCCTTTTCTGGAAGTTATATGCCTGTGTGTTGGGATCATGGATTTGGGTGAGGATTTGGAAAAGGAAAGGAAAAAGCAAGGAAATGAAGAAAAAATTTAGCTTATATTTCATTCACATTTTCTTTTCCCTTTCCGAATCCTTGCTCAAATTTATGATCCAAACACAGCTGTAATCTATTTGCTGTTCTTTGCTTTTTTCATTTTATAACCTCATTGGTGTACTTTCTATTATTTTCTGTAGACTTGTAGGAAATCCAGTTTGTGAGGGAAAACAAGGGATAAAACCATACTGCAGCATTCAACAGTCTAATTTCTCATATTCAACACAACCAAATAATTGTGTGCCCGTTACCTGCAAATCAGATCAAATATGCAGCCCCAGCTGTAGATGTGCTCTTCCATATATGGGTTCCCTAATCTTGGCAGCTCCTGCCTTTGATCAAGAAAACTCGAGTATCTACATGTCTCTCGAGAATTATCTGATGAGTTCTTTTCGTTCCCATCAACTCCCTGTGGATTCAGTTTCTCTGAGTAAAAATTCATATTCCCCCGTGCTAAGGTTAAAAATGTTCCCATATGGTGTAGACCGTTTCAATCGAACAGGAATTTCTGGAATTGGGCTTGTGCTGCACAACCTAACAACTCCCTATTCTGATAAGACTTTTGGACCCTTAAGTTTCATTGCCGATCAATATGTGTATTTTGCAGGTATAAAGCATATACATGTGAGAGAGAGAGAAAGAGTGAAAAAAGAGACATACTTACATCAATGTCTTTTTTTTACTGATAAAAAAGTATATCTATGTGATTTCTCATTCTAATCTCTCTCTCTCTCTCTCTCTCACACACACACATGCAAAAGGATCTACAGGCACTAACAAGTCATTGAGTAGGGTCATTATTGGAGCAGCAGTTGGTTGTTCTTTGCTTGTGATATTGTCCCTCCTTGCCGGAATTTATGCTTTTCATCAAAAGAGAAGAGCTGAAATTTCTGATAAGCAGAACAATCCTTTTGGTAAAATTAGGAGTTAATCTTGACAATTTATTTCCTGGTTATCATATCCTGTCCTTGGGTTTTAGTTGTTGCTTTGATGTCATACCAATGCAGCTTCTTGGGACTCAAATAAAAGCAATGGTGGTGTTCCTCAGTTAAAAGGAGCTAGGTGTTTCTCATTTGAAGAGCTTAAGAAATACACAAACACTTTCTCAGAAGCCAACTGTATTGGATCTGGTGGCTATGGAAAGGTTAACTTTTATATTCTTTTTCCTTGTCTTGGTACAACATACCTCATATATTACTAGTCTCCATAGTTACAGACCAAGTTTTGGACATTTCACCTTACCCAACTCCATCCCCAATGGAGATATGCTTTCATCCTTGTAGCTTACAAGGGAAAGACATTTGTACATTGATGTAGATTATGTACATTTCTACAGCACTGTGATAGAAGTCTCTGAATGTTTTTTTAGAGTAGAATTGTATGCAGTTCCTTTTTTATTTAGTTATTTATAATGAAAAGTAGGTGACTGATCTTTGAAAATGTATGAACTATCGAGGCATATCATTGATAAATCTATTAATTACTAAACGTTTGTGTACTTGCAGACTTGTTCTGAAAATTCTATAAAACAACAATATATTTTTTCTTTCCAATACATGTTGCTTTACTTTGTAGGGCAAAATTCACTTTATCCTTTGTTGTTTCTCCTCACACTACTTCACCCCTTAAGATTCAAATATAGGCAAAGAGCCCTATTCTGGTTTTGAACTAAAGTGCCACCGTTAGTTTTTCCGTTAAAAATAACGGAAGGTGCATTGCCCAAATTGAGAGTGGGCAGTGGAAATATCAGAAGTCAAATTCAGAAATTGAATCAAATGACCAACTTCCCTCATCTTTATCTTCTTCCCCAAATTAAACCCTAACCGTAATTGTCCCTCCACCATCAACAACCTCAGGCCCACCCTCCTCTGCCTCCTGCAAACTCCTCTTGCTTCCTAGCCTAGCCTATCACGTTCCTTTGCCTCACCAGCCCCTCTATCATCTTGTCCCCCCCTCCGAGCCCCGTCCCGCTGCCATCGCTTCCCTAGTCCAGCCACCCTGCCGCTCCATCTTCCTCTCTAACCACCTCCCACAATCCCTTCTCCCCTCATTGCGACCCCCCCTTTCCCCTACCCAACCCATGCCGGCATCCATCTACTCTTCTTCAGCCCCTCCAGCACGCCCTCTCTCCACAACCCTGCCACCCTGCCATCCCATCCTCCTCCCCAACCATCTCTGACGACCCCCTTTTCCCTTACCGCGACCCCCATTACTCCTCCCAGCCCCCTTCCTTCTCACTCCCATCTGGTAAAAATGTTATTAAATAATAAATTGGGTTAAAAGTTAAAATTAGATTATTGAATTAGGGTGTTGGGTTAATATTTGGTTTAATTTGTTAAACATGTGATTAAGATAGGAAATTATTTGTATTTGAGAAGAGAGAAAGAGAATATACATAAGGGTACTAAGGTAATTTTGCCACTGTTGTTAACAGAGTTAGTTTTGCACTTTAGTCCAAAACATAAGAGGGATCTTTGCCTATATTTGAACCATAGGGGTGAAGTGCTCTGAGCCAAAACCATGGAAGGGTAAAGTGAATTTTGCCCTAGTTTTTATTTTGAGCATTATTCACCCATTTTATAAATTTTTGTAACTAGTTTCTCATCCATCTTGGAATATTCTTTTTGCAAAGTATTCCTTGGTGCTGTGTAACTTGCATATTCACAGTTTTCAATTCAATTTACAGGTATATAGAGGAACTCTTCCCACTGGGCAACTGGTTGCCATCAAAAGGGCTAAACAAGGATCTATGCAAGGTGGTCTTGAATTCAAAAGTGAGCTTGAGCTTCTGTCTAGGGTTCATCATAAGAACGTTGTCAGCCTTGTGGGTTACTGTTTCGAGCAAGGTGAACAGGTGTTGGTGTATGAGTATATTGCAAATGGTACACTAAAGGACAGTCTTTCTGGTACTTGTTTCCTTATCTTCTCCACCAATATAGATACTGATGGTACTTCTTGTGCATCAGTTGTTTACTTTATTATTAATATAAGGGTAAATTACATTGACCTCTGTTGGGGTTCAGAGAAAATACAGCAAGCCCCACAATTTTGGCATAATTATATTGGGTTCCCTTAAAGTTTTAATTCACATAACATTTAGGCCCCTTTTCATCAATAATTCGTTAGTCATAAGGATGGAAAAATGATGTCGTTTCTTTTACATTGAAATGTATATTTTTTCTTGTTTATCCTTGAGTCTTCACATCATTTGCATTAGTTCTATCATTTTAGCCTTACAAAAAGGGAGATCGGTTGTGGAACTCTCTGTGTTTTCTCCAAACTTAAGGGTGGTCAGTGTAATCTACCATTAATATAATGACAATTTTTTGTGTGCAAGTATTCATGTTCATCATCACACTTTGTACAAGCAAAATACCTTACCTGAGTTGTATGTAGCTGAAAAAGCAGTAAAAGAAAATCAGGAAAGAGTAGAATATGGGATTCACTATCGTTGAAAATGGAAAAGAAATGCTAATCCCAAAGACGCATAGTTTCTCCTTCAAAAATGACTTCTCTAGTCGGGGAACGATTAGATATTTACCTAAACCATAGGTCCTTGAGCGGATCACACGTTAGCCCCAAGCTGTAGCCTCATCTTTCTCAAATCTCAGTTGAAACTTGAATGTTTCAGATATCTCCCCTAGCAAAAGCAAAGGGAAAAAATATATTATAAAAGGGATCCCCAGAGTTAGCTGCACTAATAGACCCACCCCTATGTTTTTTTGGAATATGTGCATTCAACTGACAAGTAATAACTAAAGTGCATATTACATGTACAGGGAAGTCTGGAATCAGGCTGGATTGGATGAAGCGGCTTCAAATAGCCCTTGGTGCAGCAAGTGGTTTGCAATATCTGCATGAACTCGCCAACCCTCCGATCATACATAGGGACATCAAATCCAACAATATCTTGCTGGATGAATACCTGAATGCAAAAGTTTCTGATTTTGGTCTGTCCAAGAGTCTTCTTTACAGCGAAAATTGTCATATTACCACTCAAGTCAAGGGGACAATGGTCAGTAAATTTCCTTCTAAACCCTAATTTTGAAAGAACAGAAAATTACTATCAATTAGAAGTTGGATAAAGATTTTCAAAGCATCTTAGTCATAGTTAAAATCTATCTGTTCTTGAAGTTGTCAGTTCTCAGTTATGAGAGATTCTCATGAAGCTGGTCTCAACTAGTCATATCCCATTGGTAAACGAAGAACCAAATCAAATAAATTAAAGCCCCCTATTGTGTTTCAATGAAAACAAAAATTAAAGCATGTAATTTTTTCCCATTAACAGCCATTTCTTTTTAAACGCCCCTATATATATGTATATATATATATTTATTTATTTTTAATAGCTGGTTGAGGTAGAAAAAAATGGAAAAGAAGAAATCACATGGAAGAATATCTTGAAGAAAAAGTAGCTCTAGGACATTGGAGAATGGGGATTTTTTTCATTAAGAACTTTAGTATGGAAAGATATTGTGCATTATGACTTGGAACATTTTTTTACTTTTTTATCAGCCCAATCCCTTACTATGTGCTGGAGGTAACACCATTTCATAAATTTTGTAAGACCTACCATCTGCTATCTACATAACTTAGCCCTTGATTGGCTACAAGGCCACTATCAAATTTGGAAATTGATGGGTCGTTTTTCCCACCAAAAATAAATATTAAAAACCAAGTAGAAACTACTATTCCTTAAAATAGCAGTTAAGACCAAATATCATTCCAACGGGGACAAAGAGGCCAAGTGTACATTAATTTCAGAATAATTCCTAAATTAATTCAAGAAGGATTGCTCAAATGGTGATGACTAAATTAATTAAAAACTAAAACTAAACAAAAGCAATATAAATTGAGTTGAGATATGCAAGTGAGAATCTCAAGGTTATTAAATTCACTACCAATCTCCTAACTAGGATTTTTTTTTTTTGATAAATAAACAAATATTACGAAGAAAGTATCAAGATGATGCAAAGAATACAAAAAGACAACCCCACATACGGACAAAACAAACCCTAACCAATTACATCATCCAAAAAATCTAAGAAAACAAATATATCCGGATTAACCTTCCTCTCCATCCAACTATACAAACCTACCAAAAGACAACACTCTAACCAAGAAGCACCATGATAAACCTCTTGAAAGGTTCGCCTATTCTACTCCAACCAAACAAGCCACGTCAAGCAAAACGGAGCCAACACCCACACCCATCTGCGCCGACGTCCAATCCGAACACCCTGCAAGCTCCAAAGCATATTCAACACCCCTTTGGTTGAACCTAAACAATCCCAAAGAGCGAACAAATAAAACCCCATAATCGCAAAGCCATTGAACAATAAAGAAACAAATGATCCACCGACTCCGCATTTGCACAACACATACAGTACTGATTCACTAAAACGTGCCCACGCCGCATCAAGTTATCCAACGTGAGATTCCACCCTAAGGCTGCTGTCCTCATGAAAAAACCATCTTAGACGGAACACCCAGCACCCAAATACTCTTTTAAGGAAAAGGCCTTCCACTTCCCTCACGAAAACCCAATAAAATGAAGAATCTAAAAACCACTCCTTTGCGCCCGCACCATTCCACACCATAACATCTTGCCCCACTCTAGTAATCTCCAACCCATACAAAAATCCCCACATCTCCACCAACTGAGTAGCTTCCCAATCTTGCACCTATTGCTGAAGTTGAACATCCCAAACGACCACACCTCCTTCCCCCCATATAAGATGCCACCATTGCCTCCCGATCAACCGCAATATTGAAAATCAAAGGATAGCGGTCCTCCAATAAAACCCCACCACACCACTTGTCCTTCCAGAACTGCACCTTCCGCCCATCACCCACCCGAAATCCTACCCAATTCCAGAACTCCACCCTTCCCAACCAAATCCCCATGAGTACCAGTCACATCCCCAAAAACCCAATCCCCCCTTCCCGCCCCATACTTTGAAGCCACCACCTTTCACCATAACCTATCTTGTTCCGAGGCAAAACGGCACAACCACTTTCCCAACAAGGCTATATTAAAAGTCACCAAACACTTTTAGATTGATAGATTTGGCCCAAATCCATCAAATGATACCTAAACTCATCCCCTCCACTACCCTACAAAAAATCCCTTTGAAGCTTCTCCAACCGTCGCCCCACCGACACTGGAATAACGTGTACAAACATGAAGTATGTCGGAATGCTGCACTCTTGATCACAGTCAACCTTCCACCTTTAAAAAGATATTGCCTCTTCCATCCCGCTAGATGCCATTGCACATGCTCCACCACTCCATCCCACACCCTCGTCACCTTCAACGATGCCCCTAGCGGCAGTCCCAAATACAACCCAAGCAAAACCGAAACATTGCATTCCAAGACCGCTGCTAAAACTGGCAACCTATCAACCTTCCCAACCGGAATGAGCTCTGATTTCCTCAAGTTAACCCAGAGGCCCGACACCACCTCAAAGCAAAGCAAAACACATCTCAAATATCCCACCTGCTCTACTTCAGCACCGCAGAAAATCAAAGTATCATCCGCATATAATAAATGAGATACACCAATAGGAGTCCCAGACAAAGATCCCACAACAAAACCTTCCAACAAACCTTCATGCACTGCTCCAGCCAACAATTTGCTCAATGCCTCCATCACCAAAATAAATAACAAAGGCAACAAAGGATCCCCTTGTCGAAGACCACGATACGTCGGAAAAAACCCGCTGGAGTCCCATTGACCAAAACAGACATCCGCACAGTCGAAACATAGAACATGATCCATTGGCACCAAGTCTCCCCAAATCCCATACGATCCGACACATATCGTAGAAACGCCCAACTGACGTTGTCATATGCCTTCTCAATGTCCAACTTACAAATCAAATCAAGGCAACCCTAATGAGTTCGAGAATCCACACTTATTGGCAACCATAATTGCATCCAAAATCTGTCTACCCCCCAAAAATGCATTTTGAGATTCAAACACATCTTGTAAAACTCCTTTAAGCCTATTCGCCAACGCTTTAGCCAATAATTTATACACACTCCCCAACAAACTAATTAGCCTAAAGTCATGAACATCCTTAGCCCTCCCCTCCTTTCTTAGGAATCAAAGTTAGAAAAGTCGCATTAAAACTATTCTCAAATTGCCCAGCCACAAAGAAAACCTTCAATGTTGCCATTAATTACATCTCCTTTAACCACGCTCCAACAGTGCTGGAAGAATGTCATAGTCAAACCATCCGGTCCTGGGGCTTTATCCCCACTCATGGCCCTCAAAGACCAGCTACCTCCTCCTCTGTAAAAGCTCGTTCTGACATCACCTTATCCTCTCCCAATATCATATCAAAATGAATCCCATCCAAACTTGGATGCCATGTCCCCTCTTGGGGTCGGAACAAATATTGATAAAATCCCACAACCACTTCCCTAATCTCTGCATCTGTACATAGCACTTGACCCTCCACCAGCATCTGGCTAATCTGATCAACCTGACGGTGTGCATTGGCTATCCGATGAAAAAATTTCGTATTCTGGTCTCCATCCTTCAACCACAAACAACGAGATTTCTGTCTAAAACAAACCTCCTCTGTGCAGGAAATACGAACAAAATCCTGTGTAGCCGCCTCCTTCCTAACAACATCCTCACCAGATAGTCCCCCGTGTGCCTCTAATTCATCCAAAGCTTGAAGTAAAGACACCATCTCTGCCTTTTGGGCCTTTATCCGACCAAATACCTCCTTATTCAATTTTTTCAAATCTCCTTTAAGCAATTTCAATTTATAAGCCAACACACAGCTAGGTGATCCAGTAATCCCATAACTACTCCACCATTCACAAACCAACTCTAAAAAGTCCTCCGTTTGCAACCACATATTCTCCAAAAAAAAAAAAAAAACGGCGCCGGACTGCAACGAATCCCCCCACTATCAAGCAAAATGGGCCAATGGTCAGATAGTGGCCGAGGAAGACGAATCTGAACAACCTCCGAGAAATGCTCCTCCCACTCCCCGGTAATCAGAAATTGGTCTATTCTAGACAAATTTTGCCCATTCGACCAAGTGAAGCTTCCCTTTTGGAGAGGTAAATCAATCAGCTGCATATTATCTATGAAAGAACAGAAGGCCCGCATTGAGCCCAAGACTCAAGTATTCCCCACCTTCTCCGTCGGCCACCTAACAACATTAAAATCAGCTCCCATGCACTATGGGACATCCCATTGAAACGAGACATTCTCCAACTCCTCTAGGAACATTTTCCATTTTAAATTTTGCACTGGACCATACACCCCAGTAAAACCCCAACGAAAGTTCTCCTCCACACACTGAAACAAGCAAGACACAGAAGAACCCCTTACATCCTCCTCCTCCTCCTCTCTAACCGCCACCCTCTTGTCCCAACAAATAAGAACCCCACCTGCCATACCCATCGTCGGCATATATGTCTCCCCCCCACACTTCCCGTACCATGTCCACCCCCAACACCTCCATATTTGTTTCCTGTAAACACACCACATTAGCCTTCGCATTTCGCAACAGCACCCTCACCGCAACCCTCTTGTCCTTGTCATTTAAACTCTGCGCATTCCAAGATAGAATTTTTAACTTCATTTCAACAAAAGTGGTCCCCCACGGTTTGTTTTGAAACCCCATTCCGCATTCTTCACTCCATGATCATAATTAACAGTGCATTCTAAATTCCTAAGCTCTTGATTCCCTTTACGCCGAGATACAAAAGGCGTAACCATCCCCTTACTAGGAGTGCCTTGCTGTCATGATGCCTCCATTGCCGAAAACAACCACAAAGCCTCATCTTCATGACCTTCAAAAGACAGACCCAAACACTAACTAACTTCATTAATGCGTTGTAGCACCCACTCCGACATTGCCTCAGCTGACGACACCTCATTTCCATCCAACCCATCAGTATCATCCAGCACAGTGTGAGTCTGCCCCTGAAACTCTTTCAGCAGACCATCCTCCATAGCTAGGGGTTGCAACACCGTCGACATCATCTTTCCACCACTGTCGTCGCCCTGGCCACCTCTATCAGCCCACGAAAAACCTCCATGCTCCTCTGCCTCTGTATGAACCTCTCCCTCTTCAAAAGCTGAGCTCTCTGATTAAGAATTAGCCCCATCATCATCCAACACTAGCCTTGACTTGAAACCTTGTCAACGGCATCTCGGCGAACCACCAACTCCAGCCCAGACTTCGTCTCTAACCCTCGATGCCAATTGTCCCCCTCTACTGACTCATCTTGAACCATAATAGGTTGATTCGCATCTGCACTTAACCTACAGAAGTCATCTTGCGAATCGACCTGACCCGTGAAAGTTGGATTCAAACCTTGATGCAACCTACTGAAAACCTAAGCCACTGGGGGGCATTAAGCCCATTAGCTGCCTTAGGCCCACTCGACGAAGGGCCTGAGTCACAAAAAGCTGGCCCACTATCCATTACTTGGCCCATGTGTCTCTACTTTGGAAAATTCGAACCCATCCCCTTGGGCTCAACACCATTGGGCCTCCAAACTTGGGTTTGACCAACTCGTCCACCATGGAAACGGAGATCCTTTGTCCTCAAATCACGTCATGTAATTTGGTACTCATTGTGCCACGAATCAAGAGTTACCATCCATGGTTGCCGATGAGAATGTAACTCTGACGACTCCCATGACTCCACCACCGGGCCTACCATTGACCAAACAAGTAAAAGGTAGTGCCATTGCCCCCATTGAACACATACCTTCGCCGAAGCACCTCTCTTTGAACCTCAAACCCTTATGCGAACACCACCGAGCGTCTCCACAGCCAGAGACTCATCGTCAACCTCTAGAAAGCCACCGCAATGATCGTCGATCACCTGAAAAACTTGCTCTCCACGAAGATGTACTGGAAGACCCAACACTTGTACCCAGTGACTCTGAGATGATGAGGCATGTTTACTTTGTACACACAAAGCCTGTTGGAATGTGTCCTACATCACTTGGAATTGCCACATCTGTGCTAGTTATAAGGCTCTAGTTTCCCTCTCCTTAAAACCAGAGTTTTAAGAAGTGTGGGTTGGGCTTTTCAACTTGGTATTAGAGCTTGGTTGGGCCTGTGACTAGTGACCTATTTGTCCAGCTAGTGTGTGTTGTGGTCCAGGAGGGTGTGTTGGAATGTGTCTCACATCGCTTGGAGTTGCCCCATCTGTGCTAGTTTTAAGGCTCTAGTTTCCCTCTCCTTAAAACTTGGGTTTTGAGGAGAAGTGTGGGCTGGGCTTTTCAACTAAGCCATTGGTGACTACCATTCAAGTAGTAGAGGTCTACCTTCCACCACACGCTGGCCGGCGAGGATTTAAGAAGGGTTAGCCCTCGACGGAAAGGCGAGCAACACAAATTGTCCACCAATCAACATCACCGGTACTCCCCCATTAATCTTCCACGCACGATTTGCCCACTCTGTCAGATACGACACCTCCATCCCCTTCTCCCCTGAAGCACCCACCCTCCCCACCAGACAACTATCCAACTAGATCACTCTTATGATGATAATGTTGTATTTTGTCTACAAGCTCAAATAACATCTTCAAGAATATTCATACATTCAAATCACGGGCGTGAATCATCATCGGTTGGCACAAAGCGCCTATGCTAAACTACGGTCATAGGTATGCTAATCCCTAGGTATGACTCATTCAATGATTTCTATAAATGCAAAGAAATATCATTATATAACTATGTATTTAAAATCACAAAATTTAAATACATACGAATTTGAATAAAGAACTTGTTTGCACTGAAAATCTGTAAATGTTATACAATCATCATCATAATAAATCAAATCTATGCTGAAAATACAAACCCTTAATTACTTGATTGGGGTTTCATCAAACCCTAAGATGGAAAGTCTAGCCACTCATGGTAGAAGAATCCAAAGTTTTCAATTGAATCTCCATGAAAAGCTCTCTGGATCTCTTTCTCTTTCTTCTCTGTTATGCCTCTCCAATACTTGAGGCCCCAAAATCCTCCCCTTTCAAAAGAAACTACTAGCTTCACTTTTTATATGTGCTAAAAACAAACCTAAAAATAATAAAATGCATAACAGGTTGTGCTTGAGCACGTCGCATCCGATCACATGGACGCTAAATCTTTTTCTCTTCAGCAATGTAAGTGCTCTAGCACTCAGACTTTGTGCTCAAGCACAAAAAGGGAAACTTGTTCTCTCTTTTGAACTTTCTAAAATTCATTTCTTCGGCTTGATTTGGGCTTCAATTGTATGTTCCATCAAACTTTCAAAATCTCCAAATTAATAGCATCTTAGCATCATGAGCTCAAACACCTACAAAAATAAAAATAAAAAATGCATTAGAATACATCAAATAACTAGGATTGAAGACTTAACAATGCACTTTAGGGGGGCTTAAATATAAACATTCAAGCACTTATCAGAAACCAGGGTGAAACCTGTGGGTCTGAACTCTTTTTGGTACAATAAATGTAATTGGTAGCTTTCTATTATTATTATTATTTAGTTAGGGACTAAGTGAGTATTGATTTAATTTCCAAATACTAATAGGATTTGTTTTCCTAACTCATTTAGGGTTCTTAGTTTGGAGTCATATTATTGAGAGTATTTTTCAGGATGTGGCCTTTCTTCCTCTTCTTGCTATTGTAAAAAGGGATGAACGTCATTTTACCTTGGGAAAAATATCAAAAAAATGGAAAGTTTGAAAAATAATTGTAAATTTATGAAAGTACAAGTGATTAATGCACTAGATTGTGCAAATGAGTTGTACTTTCATGAATTTGCAATTACTTTTTCTACTTCCCATTTTATTGATATTTTCCCTTTTATCTTTGATTCAAAAAAAAAAAAAAATTATCTTAAACAAATTTATGGAGTGGACCTCGGAGGATAATAGTTTGAGTTCTTTGAAAATCCATGATATTGTTTAGTATTTTGGATTAAAAAGCAGAATTTTTTTTATTGGTGTAGGGCTACTTGGATCCTGAATATTGCATGACCCAGCAGTTGACTGAGAAGAGTGACGTTTATGCCTTTGGAGTGCTAATGATTGAGCTGATAACTGCGAAACAGCCGATTGAGAAAGGCAAATACATTGTAAGAGAGGTGGGGCAAAAAATGGACAAGGCAAAGGATCTATACGATCTTCATGAGATTCTCGATCCAAACATTTTGGGCACCGCACTGACAGGCTTAGAGAAATTTGTGGATTTGGCAATGAGGTGTGTCGAAGAAGGAGCGGGGAGGCCTACAATGGGTGAGGTAGTAAAAGAGATTGAGAACATCATGCAAATTGCCGGTTGGAAGCTTAATGTTGACACGGTGTCCACTTCAGTTGGTTTTGAAGGGATTAGCAACCATCCTTATAGCGAAGAAAGCCTCATTATTTATGGCAGGGCCTTGGCACGTTAAAAGTTAGTGCCGCAGTAAGTCTTATTAAGCATTTTCGTGTAGAACATGTGAGCTTTGTGATGTTTGTACCATGTGGGAAGAACCAAACTATGTATTGTAATGAATTATTGGCTTTTCTTTCTTTTGTTGGATGGTCTTAGGTGTGTTGCTTGTCTAGTAGACTAAAGAAGGGACGAAGGGAAAAGTGAAACGAAATGAAAATACTGACGTACAAATTGTGTGTATAGCAAGCTAAGTCTTGTGTTTTTTCTATAAATAAGCTACTATTTTCTGTTCTAAGCAATTATCCCTCAATTTTCTGCTGTATTGAGAAAAGAAAATGTGATTTACTGATTCATTCTGATGAGAATTCTATATATGTAACAATTGGTAGATTTCAAGAGAGGCTTGGATTCTCACCCATGTCCTTCTTGGTTGTAAGTTTGCTGGAAATGTTTGTTAGTTTGCATGATGATAATATTGCTTTTTTCTTTCAGACATGGATATGGTTATAAATTATGTGTCATTATAAATTAGGTGTATCATATGCCGTTAGTTGTAACATTTGTAATCTTTAGTTATGACTCATTGCAGTGTTGATTATGACTTGGTTATGACTTATTATAGTGTTGGTTATATAACTTTAGTTATGACATATTGTGATTGTTATTTTGGTTACACTTCAAGTAATGTTTAGTTACGATGATAATATTGCTTTTTTCTTTCAGACATGGATATGGTTATAAATCATGTGTCATTATAAATTAGGTGTATCATATGACGTTAGTTGTAACATTTGTAATCTTTAGTTATGACTCATTGCAGTGTTGATTATGACTTATTATAGTGTTAGTTATATAACTTTAGTTATGACCTATTGTGATTGTTATTTTGGTTACACTTCAAGTAGTGCTTAGTTATGATCCATTGTGGTGTTATTTATGACTTGATTATGACACATTGTGATATTAGTTATGAGCTATTGTGGTTATAATTTTGGTTATGACCAGAGAAGTTATGACTAAAAAGTGTTTTGTTATGATTCATTAAATTATGACGTAAAATAATTTGGTTATGACACTTTGCAATATAAGTATCATGAAGTGTCATAACTTGCATATGATGTATCCCTTCAAGAAGTGTATATTATAATTCGGTGCTGCTTGAGGGCCCGTAATTTCGGGGCTCGAATGCCTCGAAATTCCATTTTAGGTAAAAAAAAAAAAAAAAAAAAAAGGAAAAAAGAAAGAAAAAAAAAAACAGTTTCCAAAATTGGAAATTAGGGATATTAGGGGCAACTTTTTTAGGGCCACCAATCATTTTCCATTATAATTAGGGGTGATTATGGATTCGTTCAACCCGACCAAATTGACTCAACCCGATTGATTTTGGGTGGGTGCGTGTCTTTTGGCGGACAATAGATACAGTTGAGATAGCAGATCAACTATTCCATACCCGCATGAACCCGATCCACTTGTAGATGAAGTTAAAAAAAAAAAAAAAACTGCTAACAAGTAACAATATATGTAGAAATAATAAAATATATTGAAAAATCTAGATTTGTGCGGAAAACTCTTTTAGAAAATCTAGATGCGTCCTGTGTTAATGTGATTATTAATTTAGGCAATCAAATTAAAAATTAATGCAACCATGATCAATATATATATATATATATATAGAGAGAGAGAGAGAGAGAGAGAGAGATAAACAATCTACGACACAAGATATTTTTTACATGGAAAAATTACGATTAGAATTCACCAACTTGTGATAAAAAACCACGGGCCCTCTACCTAATGAATAAGAATAATGCTATATGTACCAATTAATGTATTAATTAGTATACTAATAGATGATGTGGCATAATTTTAAAAGTTTTGGGTATTTATAATTTGTATAATAGGTGAGGTCAGTAATAATGGCATCACACTAGTTGATACACTAGTGTGTACATTAATTGGTGCATGTAGCACCACTGCATGAATAATCCACTATGCAAAAAAAGTACCATAAGAGATATTTTACAAAGGCCAATCCAGGCACACAAGTCCACTCACCGGTACACAACTTTGCTCAATCTACAAGTACCTTCGCAACCTCCACTAGATATCTGCTATAGTTGTTGAATTGCCATGATGCCAATGATTTTGAAATCCACCGAAATTTACAATTTTGTAATTCACCAAGAAAGTTCACTTCTGTAAGACGTGAAGAAATTTTACAAAGACTTGATGATTAGCTTGAAACACCTAAGACTAATGAATCATCAAGGAAATAAGAGATACAAATAATTTTTACTACAAGTTCTCTCTCAAAAATAAACTCTCTAAAAAATGAATCTCTCAAAAACATACTCTCTTAAGATTGGAAATATTCAGAAGAGCTTATAAGAGAATACTTAGAAAAAGAAAAATGTCTAAGACCCCATTTTTTCCCCATCCCCTTTGACCCCCTCTCTTTCTCATTGGTTGGATTTTCTTTTTCTTTTTTTTTTTTTGTTTCCCTTGTCCTCCAATCACCATCTGCCACATGTGTGTGGGGGTGGTGGGGGTGGTGATTGGAAGGGGTCTCCATCACTCCTCTTAGAAAAAAGCTGTGAGAGATAACAGCGAGGTGGTCCTTCATATAGACCTGGACATGTCAAGTTCACGGGCACAGATGTCTTAATCGCAGGCACGAGCCACCAAGTCGTGGGAGTGATGTGCCATTGCAGGATGTAGAGAAAAGTACTGAGAGCTACACTTTTAGTCTGCCTGGTCATGGACACGAGGTCTGAGGTCACGAGCAGGACCTTGCCATGTGTGAATCGCAGCTAGCACAGTTGTTTGGCTCGCGGGTGCGACTCCCCAATCTTGTAGACAAACAGCCACCATTTGCCATGTAATTAAAGTCCATGACTTATGCTCGTGCTAGTCATCAAATGAAGATTCAACAAAATTCACAAAGAATTTGCTCATTTGAAGCTCTATTTCTTCATCCATGTGTTGCCACCAAATCTTTGACAATCTTGAGTCCAAATCTTCTCTTTACATTTTACTTTGACTCAACACAAATGATTTTAAGTTTTGTCAAGAGAGTATTGCCAAAACACTAAAACATTTAGGATCAAAATCCTAACATATATATTTTTGTGAAAATGAAAAATAATACCTCAAAAATATGCATGTGTAGTGCCATGGCCTATTATAGACAAATAATACATATTTTTTCATCCGCCAACCTGCACGGTTCGCTCAATTTATATCCGTCAAACCAATGGACGGATGTGGATTAATTTTTTTCAATCTGCCTAATTCTCCATCCGCGATCACCCCTAATTATAATAGGCGGAATTACATCCCAGTGGGACAAAATTTTACACCTCACAGCTTCTTACTTACACCCCATTTGGCTTCGTTTGGGAAGTGGGTTGGCTTTTTGGCTTTTCTGACTATTTTAACCTGGGGCTAAAAAGCCTGGTTTGGGAAAGACTTTTGACTTTTTTGACTTTTTTTGTGAGAGAATGAATGTAATGATTATGGATTGGATGTGATGTTTTGTCTTATTGGGCTAAAAAGCCTATTTTGTTTTTTGTGACTATTTTAGCCAAAAAAACTTCAAACCTCTCTTCCCAAACGGAGCTAAAATTACTTGTATCTCACATATTTTTATAATTTTTTCCTCTGTCCCACTGTGAGTTGGCATGTTTATTATATTTATAAACAACATGTCGTTATAAATTATGTATCCTTATTGTTATAAATTTTGTATTAACGAGATTAAGGTCGTATGATGGACACTAATTTATGAAGAAAACTCATTTTCTTGTGTGAGTTGTTCAATAAATTATACTTATCATTTAATAAATTAAAGAGACATGTGGCGAAAGTTTCTAACTTTGTCGCACCAACAACAAAGTACAAACGAACAATGTGCGGTAGACCAAAATATTCTTAATCTATTTTTAAACTTTAAAATCTCATAATGTTTGATATAATTGTCCATTTCAAATAAATTTGATTAAAATCCTTTTATTGAGATCTATTAAAACTACTTATGAAATTCTATAAAAAAAAACATAGTGAAATTTTACTGTTCAAATTAAGATTAACATAGTACAATACAATTTTACAACTAGTATTTTTAAAATGTGGAACTTCATAGCCACCACTAAAAGCATAATATCACTGTTATCATCACCAAGTGAAATTTATGAAAATAGTGAAAAGTAATGTTAACACACCTAAATTTTATATTAAATGGGACACGATATGTTCTTACTTTCTCGGAGACTATTGAGTCGCCAAACTCTACTGTCATTTATTTCGAACTTTACATCAATTTCTCTTGTGTAATTTATGCACGATTCTCTATAACTCTAAATAATCGTAAGATCACTACTTTCAATTGTTGACGGTAGTGGTAGAATCAAAATTTTGGCTAAAAAGGTACAAAACTAAGACTACTTATTGAGTTGTATCAATTTGAGACACTGTTAGTGAAAATTGTGCTCACTCCCAATCGACAGGATTTGAACAATAACTTAAACAAACAATTGAACAAACTAATCAAGCGACTGTATATTTTGATTCAAATACCTTGAAAGTACAAGAATTTTTTTGAAACAAAAGTTACAATCAGTAAGATCAAATAAGATAAACAAAGCAAACTAAAGATGATTTCAAAATGAAACCACCAATGTTTACAAAGATTACAAATTACAAAGAAAAACTACTACAAAATTTAGATAAAGCTACTCCTAAGATAGAACTAAGTTGTTATATTATTGTTGATGTCTTTTCTCCTTTTGGCACCTTTTGCTTTTATACCTTCCCATTTTTCTCTGACCCATGATTGCATGATTCCCCTAAATCCTGCAACTGTTACTGCAGAACTACTGCAACTGCTCTCTCACTTCCCAACCCTCAAACTTCACAAATTCTTCCTTTCTATCTGTCAAACCACCTCTCCTTCATGTTGCCACGTGTCCCTCAGTCCTTTGGACATTCCATCGACAGAGAAAAACTTCCATTCTGTACATGACTCTTCTTGCGAGTTGCCCACTAAGCCCATGACCTAGCCTGATAATTACTTCATCATCTGGACCTAGCTTGATAACTGCTCCATCATCTGAACCATTTAATGTATGTGGTCAACCTCTCTAATGCCACCTGTCCCTTGACTGCTGAAAGACTTCATTTTGACTTCATTGCCATGTGTCATCATCTGATTAATCCACCTGTCAATAGGAATTTTACAAAAATGGATGCAAACAGACACATAATTTAATTTAGTTTGGTATAAAAATTAATTACCAAAATTAGA